ACCTTTTACGACAGTCGCGCTTTACGGCCGCTTTTACGACAGTCGCGCTTTACGGCACCTTTTACGACAGTCGCGCTTTACGGCATCCTTTTACGACAGTCGCGCTTTACGACACCTTTTACGACAGTCGCGCTTTACGACCGGTTTTACGACAGGCGCGCTTTACGGCACCTTTTACGACAGTCGCGCTTTCCGGCCGCTTTTACGACAGTCGCGCTTTACGGCACCTTTTACGACAGTCGCGCTTTACGGCACCTTTTACGACAGTCGCGCTTTACGACCGGTTTTACGACAGACGCGCTTTACGGCACCTTTTACGACAGACGCGCTTTACGGCACCTTTTACGACAGTCGCGCTTTACGACACCTTTTACGACAGTCGCGCTTTACGGCACCTTTTACGACAGACGCGCTTTACGGCACCTTTTACGACAGTCGCGCTTTACGACACCTTTTACGACAGTCGCGCTTTACGGCACCTTTTACGACAGTCGCGCTTTACGACCGGTTTTACTACAGTCGCGCTTTACGACCGGTTTTACGACAGTCGCGCTTTACGGCACCTTTTACGACAGTCGCGCTTTACGACACCTTTTACGACAGTCGCGCTTTACGACACCTTTTACGACAGTCGCGCTTTACTACACCTTTTACGACAGTCGCGCTTTACGACACCTTTTACGACAGTCGCGCTTTACTACACCTTTTACGACAGTCGCGCTTTACGGCCGCTTTCACGACAGTCGCGCTTTACGACCGGTTTTACGACAGACGCGCTTTACGACCGGTTTTACGACAGACGCGCTTTACGACCGGTTTTACGACAGTCGCGCTTTACGGCACCTTTTACGACAGTCGCGCTTTACGACACCTTTTACGACAGTCGCGCTTTACGACCGGTTTTACGACAGGCGCGCTTTACGGCACCTTTTACGACAGTCGCGCTTTCCGGCCGCTTTTACGACAGTCGCGCTTTACGGCACCTTTTACGACAGTCGCGCTTTACGACCGGTTTTACGACAGGCGCGCTTTACGGCACCTTTTACGACAGTCGCGCTTTCCGGCCGCTTTTACGACAGTCGCGCTTTACGGCACCTTTTACGACAGTCGCGCTTTACGGCACCTTTTACGACAGTCGCGCTTTACGGCCGGTTTTACGACAGTCGCGCTTTACGGCACCTTTTACGACAGTCGCGCTTTACGGCACCTTTTACGACAGTCGCGCTTTACGACCGGTTTTACGACAGTCGCGCTTTACGGCACCTTTTACGACAGTCGCGGTTTACGACCGGTTTTACGACAGTCGCGCTTTACGGCACCTTTTACGACAGACGCGCTTTATGGCACCTTTTACGACAGACGCGCTTTACTGCACCTTTTATGACAGTCGCGCTTTATGGCACCTTTTACGACAGGTTTCTCTTGCCCATCTTGGGGTTTTTTTCCTGGTTTTTTCCTGGTTTTTTTTTTTTTTTTCTTGGCAAACAAAACTAACTGGCCCAGGTTCCTGATGGCAGTTTGAAGGAAGCACTTGTCAAAGTACCTTGAGTTGGCACTGGTGCCAGCTTGGCTCTGGGAGGCATATTTTGCAAAGTTGAATTTCAGCAGGCCGCAGGCCCCCGAACCGCAACCTGGGCCCTTTTCCCTGGCAAACAAAACTCACCTGTCCTGCTTCTTGATGGCAGATTGCAGGAGCCACTTGGCACCATCAAACCAGCCCGAGTTGGCACTGGTGCCAGCTTGGGTCTGGGAGGCATCCTGCCTATCGCGGAATTTCAGGAGCCAGCTGGCCACTCCGTGCCACAGACCCCCGAACACCTACGCCGGCCCTTTTCCTTTTGCCCCCCAGCCCTCAGGCTGTCTGTCACCCTCAAGCCCCCCCCCATGCCCCTCAAGCCCCCTCTCAGCTGCGCCTCAGCTCCTGTGTGTCACCCTTAACCTCTCTCCTTTGTCCCTCAGCCCCCAGCTTCTCGGTGTCACCCTCCAGCTGCCCCTGCCACCCTCAGCATCTCTGTGTGTCACTCACTGTGCCCTCTACCTGCTCCTCCCTCAGCTCCCAGCCTCTGCCACCCTCAAGCCCCCACAGTACCCCTCGAGCTGCCCCCAGCCTGTCATGCTTGACAGGACCCTAAAAAAACCCTATCAATTCCCTAAAGAGCCCTAGTTTTCAAAGTATCCTAAACACCCCACAGAACCCTAAAAATAGCCTCCGAATACACTCAAAATACCCTACTTTTAAAAAGCCCGTAAAGCACCCCTAAAAATCCCCAATGAACCTTTAAAAAATCCTTAAATGATCCTAAAAGAGCTTTAAGAATACCCCTTAAATCTTTAAAATGCCCTGGTAAGACTAAAAAAAACCCTAAAAAATTCCCCCAAAAACCTTAGAAATACCCTAGTCCTAAAAAAAGTCCTCCATATACCCTCAATACTCCTCAAAAAGCCCTAAAAACTTTTTAGTCCTAAAAAAGCCCCAAGGATACCTAAAAACACCCCTAAAAATTCCAATTGGTACTAAGACAGCCCTTAAAACACCCGAAAAAGTTCTTTTAAAAGCCCTAAAGGTATCCTAAAACATTCCCAGAGAATTCCTAAAAAACTCCTGCAAAAAAATCCCCTAAAATATCTTTAAAAATCCCTGAAAAAAAAACCTAAAAAACTGTTCAACTCCTACCTGTAACTCTGTGGCCTCCAAACATCATTTCTACCTTCTAATTGGGGTAACTGCCTGCACCTGCTGGGAGGGTCCTGGGGCAGTCCCACCTGTACTCCAACCCTACCTGGTACCCTGTGTCCTTTGCACCCCTAACCCTCAGTGTCAGCTCTCCACCTGTCAACACCCCCCCCGCCCCCCATATTTGCCCCTCAGCCTGCAATGTCTGTGTGTCATCCCAAAGACCGTGTTAGGCCTCCCACATGCTGCTGTAGGGAGTCACCGGTGGGCGGCAGAGGAAGTGAGAGATGGGGCAGGGGCAACGTGGATTTCAGAACCCCAGCAGACGGCCACCCACTTAGCACCACAGGTACCTGAACACCAACTCCAGCCTTTTTCCCTGGCAAACAAAACTCACCAGATCAGGTTCCTGATGGCAGACTGCAGGAGCCACTTGGCGCTGTCAAACCAGCCCAAGTTGGCACTGGTGCCAGCTTGGATCTGGGAGGCATCCTGCACAATGCGGAATTTCAGGAGCCAGCTGGCCACTCAGGGACAGGTTGGAGGGAAATTCACAGCACTACACCAAGTATGAAATCAGACTCAGGTTTTGATTTTCATGTGGTTTAATAAGTTAACAGATTCAGCCATTACACAGCAATAGAATTCTCTTTTGAGATTACAAAGGTGCAAGAACTTCAATTAGTCATATGTAGTTTTATTTTCATTATTAGCTACACAGTTCCAATTCTTTCCCACCTGAACAATGTGGGGTCAAAATAATCCACCCAGACAGAAAGCATCAAAGTACAAAAGAGCACACACAAGGAAGGGTGTTAATTCAAATTCCGTGTGGGTATTTGGTCCAGTACCTTACAAAGCAAGGAAAGGTGATGTGGAGCAGTCATGCCTGTAGAAGGAGCTGTGAGATCACAAGCACACCTTTGCCACAAGTTTGACCAATGCTGGGACTGTTACTCTACCCTGAGACTCACCGTGACTTTGCAGTAGGGGAGTTGGGATGGAGAAAACAATGCAAAAAGACCACAAACTACAACCCTCCAAACACTCAAGCATCTCTACGGCTACTCAGAAATGACTTCTCTGTAGGTTCAGCAAACAATGTCCCAAGAGAAACTACATCATTGCTTTAACAAGAACATTTGCCATACGCCCAGTTCTAATCTAAAAACAGCACCTGCCTGCGGTTGGAAGAAGCTTTCATTACATTCCCCTTCACTGAACTTGCTCTCCACGTAAGTAGTCTCCCCTTGCTCTTCCCCATTTCAGTCAAGCTGCCTAAAACCCCACCCTCAACTGCATAAGCTGCATGAGGGTGCTTGCAGGGCCAGGAATTGGACTTGCTTGCTCAGGTCTGCTCCTGAATAAGTCTGTGCCATAAATGGGTATGAATGCCACAGAAGCTGGTAAGGCCACTCTCCTGTCCCATCTATTGGCATTGTCGTCCCCAGTCACTTTGCACCGCATACTCTATAATTAGAGTATGCTCTTATTATAAGCACGTGCAAATACACATCCATGCACCCAATTCGTCTGGCCTCAGACATCCATCATGTTAAATCCTATGGCACCCTCAGAACACTGAGGTTTTGAGGTTCCCTTCATTTTTTCCTGTGTCTGTTTTCCACTGACTCAAGAGGATATCTCTCATGGGCCAACACCGAGGTCTTTGTGGATGATGAGACTCCTAAACCCTTCCCCTAAGCACAGGGAGAAGATTTATCTAGACAGAAATATACTTACAAGTATAATTACAGCTTTCAGCTAGCGTAAATCTATTTTCTTCAGAGAAGTAAAAATACACAGGTAAATTCTAGTAAATCTGTTCAGCCAAAATAGGAAACTAACAAACAAAATCCACAAACAAGAAACCCCTAACAAACTAAAAAACCCTCCAAGCAGACCAACACAAACAAAAACCCAAAATAATCTCAACAAAATGCCTACTTTGGCTTCATGTACAAGTCAGTGTTCTGCTTGTGTAGCCAGTAGGAAAACACAGCATCTGGAAAGCAGGCCCTCATATGCAGGTTGAAGCCTCCACGCATTCAAGCCCACTGCTCTGCTGTTCCTCTTCCACCATATATTTGGTGGACCAATTTCACAAGGTGCAAAAAGCGAGCCTACCCTGAGACAACAATCTGCCAACTGCAGATCACTCGAGCTTAAAAATGTTGATGGTGGCCTGTGCCATTCATGGGGTTACTCTGTGGTCCCAAGCATTATGAAATGCCACAGAGCCCACAGCAGCACCAAGGCAAGGGCACAGGTATCTGGAAGAAGTTAAACTGGGAAAGTAGATTTCAAATAACATTTCTTCTTCAAATAGCATTTCTTCTGTCCTAAAGCCAGAAACACAGAATACATTTAATACAAAAGAGGTTTCTGAAAGCAGCTATTCTGTGGGGGGAAATTCCTGGGGACTTCATCTCTGCAGCTTCTGGAGAACCCTGTGCGACGTTCTCTTTCCATCTGAGAAAATTAGGATAGACAAATTGTTTCTCATACCAATAACCACACCTCCACCACGAGGCAAATTCATTACCATTCATGCCTTTGAGGAACCAGGAACCTGTGCTCTTAAAGTCAGGATTAAAAAAAAACGGCACCTACTGCCTGGGGGATGAAAACATCTTTGTGGGCCAGAAAGAAAGCCTTGCTCAGATAAGAAGAGGAAAGATCAACACGTTTAATGAGGAGAGTATCAGAACCAAAAAATTTTCAATGCACACAGCAGACCCATACCCTGCTATCCCTCTGTTCCTCAAACAGTACTTTTGACAAACACCCTGAAAACCAGTCTGGACTTATAGAGAATATTCAAAAGAAGACAACAGGTTACAATAGCACTCCTATGCTGTACAACTTGGAGAAGCAACAAAATGTCAGAAAATACATCTCTTCTAGGAAACACAACCAGATGTAGGACCTAATATTTGAAGATGTGCTCTGCCAGCACTCGACAACATCCCTTTCCTTTGCAAGCCATTTAACCAGATACTGATTTGCAGCACAATTCACTGCCAGTGGTAAAAAACACTGCTAAAAATTCAAGGGAAGATATGCCCCTACTGGCATGCTTCCCACATACCATTCTCTTGGCCAAACACAGTGCAGATGTCTTCCGCCACATCAAGTTCAAAATCAAAAACCGTATCTCCACTGCAAGTCACTGGCGGGCATAGCCTGGAGCCAACAAACCAGGAACAAAACAGGAAAACAGATGTATGACAGGAACTGCCCATTTAACATAGCTAGAAAGGGTCCCCAAGGCCAGTGAGTAACTTGAGCTTCTGTTTAACTCCCTTTCCTATCACCTCCTCCTACAAGCCAGACCAAAATATGCTGGTCAAGAATCTAGGTATGTGTTTGTCAGACAGAAACCTTGCCTTTTCTGCCTCCAGTCTACAGTGACAAGGATAACATTGGCTAGCCCTCACAGTCCTCCTTGTGTCCATGAGCCTCAGATCCCTGATTCCTTAGAACGGTGAATGGTGTTCACCTCCAGCCACTCCACACCAAGACAGCTCAAGCTCTTACAGTTTAAAGAAAAGAACACAGGACTATCAAATGAGACTCATGGTAGGTCCTTGACTAACCCACAAATGAAAGGCCACAGGCTCTTCTGCTCAAACCAGCATTTCTAGTGCAAGGCTTCACAGTTTCGTGCCAGAGAAGTGGTGCTGTCTGGACTCAAATCTTCATGGTTTAGTACCTTGAGATGGTGTCCTAATGAATAAATAAAATCCAAAAATGGAACATAAAGTATGTCATAGCTACAAGTCATAGAGGGGATGGTGCGAGAGAGAGTACCAAATTGAAACCAAACTCCGAGACTTTGAGAACAAGGGTGTGTCAGACCGCATGTGACAGCACCGCACCAACCCAGCCAAAGAAGGTGTGATGTGAAATCTGTGGTTGGATTGCTATAGGCAAGCTACAGATGGCCAAGTTCTAATGGCACTGTAGCGCAAACCAGTCACTGACATCGAGGAAAATCATTCTCGGCGAGAAACAGCGAGTTCTCTGGCATCCATAGTGCATGGAAGTGCAAACAAAGCCACAGTGTCATGCGGACAAGCAACAAAGAAACAAAGGATAAAAGACCCGACAGAGTTTGTGGACAACAAAGACTCCCAGACCAAAACAGATGTAGAGGTTCCTGGTCAGCCAGCTGAACCAATATGATTTTTCAGATTCATACATGCCAAATCACGTGAGGAATCAGCAGGAAAAACAGCCAAGAGTCCCTCCTGCTAGCACACACAGGCACTTTCAGTTACAACCCTCGGTAACACTGGCCTTCCCCACCTGTACAAATTCAGAAGAAACAGCCACCTGTAAATCCTTTTGCAGCAGCACAACAAACACATTCTGGTCCTTGGAAATGGCACACGGCAGCGGTATCAGCAAGCCAGGGTTTGTCCTTACAAGAAACACATTTTACCTGCGCCACCAAGAGAACTGCTTTTTCAGTTGGCAGCATCCTGTACAAGGAAGGACAGCAGACACTACCACAGGAGATATTCTGATGGAAGAGCAGAGCTAGAGAATACAGTCAGGCCTGGGAAATACCTCTTCCGTGAGGTATCTCCTCCCCTCAGTCCTACCTCCTTAGCTCAACAACCCACAGGATAGCAGGAGGTTTCTCTCAAACCAGGCATGTTGACAGGACATGAGTGTTTCTCCAAAGAGCATTGTTATGCGCTATCTGAAGGGAACTTCTGGGGATATTATAGATAAAATGTGTATGGATGGACCAGGAGACCGGACAACTGTTTCCCTAGAAGGACAGTGTCCTCCTGCACAGGGATTTTATGTCTCCCCCTGCCCACTTCTCCCTCTTTGCAAGTACCTGCTGCAGAAATGTCCTCTGTTTGAACAGAGGGGTGCGTGTTTGTGAGAAGAAAGGAAATACCAAATACAATCCAGAAAGATTCCCCCTACGAAAGGAAACCCATCAGTGACAATATATAAACTCTTGCCTCTTTCTGCCACGTGCAAGCCTCTTCTGTCTCCCCATTAGACTGCCCTTCACTACATTCCTTGCCTTATTCCTTGCCATCCATCCCCAGCATGGTGCCAGTCCTTGGCATGAGAACCATGACAGCACGAGACTGGACACTCGGCAGGTCTGGAAGACAGCCTGGCAGCCCTTTGGGAACATCCCAAACCACCCCCAAGAGCAAGGGAATAGCTGGTGTGTGCACTCAGTACAGCCCCTTCCCTATTCAAGAACACAGATGTGGAAGGAGTGTTGTGTTACGGGGTGGCTGCACAGGGTGGCAGAACCAACAGCACTGACCGGGCATTCTTGCGAAGGCTCAGGCTTCCGTGAAAACTTGTACAGTAGTTAAAACTTCCTTCTTCTTAGAGACTTCTTCCTTCACCAACAGAGCACAGAAAACAGGGGTTCCTCAGAGCTGTCTGAACCAGACACTGTTCCAATGGCAGAGCCAGGTGGAGGACCACAACTTCGACAGCTGACAGCTGTCTTCTGAGAGCTCACAGCTCAGGAACACATCACCCTGCAGCACACCTCAAGTTACAGCCTCTGCACCAAGCACAAGCAATAACAGTGTTTAGATCATCAGTGACTGTGTCATTCTCTGCCACTAGAAGACTGAATGAGGCTACATGTCACACTTCTTGGCCCTATAGCTAACCCAGTAGTTTCTTGATTTTAACTCTGAAGGTTGCCACTTGACAGACCTGCCCCCCGTTTCCATGAGGCACCTGATGACACACACGGAGTAATTTCTGCAGTTCCTGGAACCCCCAGGGGGATTAGCATGCCACCTGGATTTTCTGGGAGAGCACAGTAGGGTGCAACAAGCAGAGAAGGCTAAGCCAAGGCAGCCAAACAACCTAAGTCCTGCGTTTGCCACCTCTGCTCCCCAAACGGCATAAAGCACTGGGGTGTCCTCCCTCAGCCAAGGTTAGAAAGAACTGGACTTCAAGTCACAGATACCATGGAGTGGGAAGACAAGAGACTAGAAAACAATCTCTGAGAAATCTTTCCAATGGGCTTCTCCCTCCTTCAGTTTTCACCAGCTGTTGTGTTGTCACTACCTTTGGGTTTGGATTTAGACTTGAAGGAGAAGCGTTTGATGAGGCGGTGAGAGAAGCTACCAGTTTTCTTTCTGGTGGTGGAGTTGGCAGTGACATTGGACAAGTCATCGTGTGACTGGCTCAGGCCTGCTTCCTTCTGCTTGCTCCTTCTCCGGAAGATGAGCTTGGTACCGCTCCGAAGAAAGCTAACTACAGAGACAGGAAGGAGACAGAAACCATAATAGTGTCTTGGACTGGCAAGTTTCAGGGACAGTAACACACCCAGCCATTCTCAGCTATACAGCAGTCCTCTTCCACACTGAGAGGCAGAAGTACACAGCAGGTTGGCTAATCCCAGCTTCCCAAGGCAAAGTCTCAGCTGACGATAGACTGCAACACCAACAAGCTGCCTCACTAAACATTCCATCCCATCTCCCCTCTGCATAAAATTCCTTTTACACAATATCCTCCTCTCAGTGGAAGCGTGCAGCATTTCAAATGACAACCAAGACTCACATGAATGGAAAACAAGTGAGATCATCTGAACCTGAAGACCCTGAGAGGAACATACAAGATGGAAAAGGCCTCTCAGATCAGCCTGTCTCAAGGGCACAGGGATTAACATTGTCCCCTGCGCCCGGAACAACTGCCTGCATTTTCATGACGTGCCCAGTCTAGAGGCAAATAATGCCAACGGCTCCTTATGACTCCCACAAGCAGGAGAAGGTGGAGATGCCAATTGCTTTCAACCTCAAATGGATCATAAAGACAAGATACAAAACCTGCAGGCCATATAACACTACAATGGTATTTCCTACAGACAGGGTTTGCTTTCCATTTTCCCTCTGTTCCCCCCCACCAGCTCTCTTGGGAATCTGGGTCACACACCCTTCTACCCACTGACATTCAAAAAAGGGGCCTCTGCAGCCCAAATCATACCTAGTTGTAACAGGGTACAACTCCCCAAAATTTGTCCCACTCTAATAGTCTGAGTAATCAAGATTTTGATTTGCATTTCTTTACATAAGTTGGTAGCAGAAAAATCCAAGGTGCACCATCCACCTGACAAATGTGTGGAAAGGCCAGGACAGCAGCTAGGTTGAGGCAGCCCACTCCATCATTTAAAAGAAGCGAGTTTGTGTGAACATCTTACATTATGACAGGTCAGAGGCACTAGCTGCTTCGATACTAACAGGGAAAGAAGAAGGGCAATCAAGGCCCATACAATCTACATTGCTGGGCGGCCTCCATGTCCACACCACAGGTGGCCAAATTCAGAGGATGAATCATTATTTATGGGCATGTGCCTGATTTGTGGACCTGGAGACCAGGGAGAGAAAAGCGGTTTTCTATAATACACAGGCTGTGCAGGGTTCCCATCTAGGAGAGCACAGAAACTTGAAAGGTTACAAGAATCAGACACCTACAAATGAAGGCTGTTCAAGTCACTTCAGTGGAAAAACCACAAGACAAAGGCAGGCTCTTCCCAGCTCCATCAGAAGTGGCTCTTTGCTATGCTAAAAGGTGGCTGCAGACCCCATGCTCGGGTGCAGAACCTGGATGTCACTGTCCTCACATACAGCTAATGCTATGGGTCATGTTAGCTACCCTACCTAACAGTTCATGCTTACCTTTGTGATCTTTCAAGCTCCTTGTCTCAAGGGCTCCTGTGGAGCCAGTTTCAGACTCAACATCTTCCACGGATGGTCTTTCAGAGACATCTGATCGCGTTGTCTCATCCAGCTCCTGACTGTCCCTTTGACCCAATGGCAACGCTTCCAGTGGCCGCGACAATTCAGAAAAATCGTGCATCTGGTCAGCTGTGCTGTCTGCCTCAGAGTCCCCATACGCTGTGGCCTCCAGGGATGCAGCATAACCCAGAGAAAGTGCCATTTCGTCTTGAGCAATAGGTACCTGAAGGGGGGTTAGAGAGGCAGACAGACACGAACACAGGATCAAAAGAATTCCACTCATCTGCCTACTTCCATCTATACCCACATATGGGCGGCCCAGTTCAGATCATCAGTGCCAGATGGCACCAATGGACAACTGCCACTCTTTGGCTGAAATATACTGGAATGTGGCCGATTACAAGGCATTCTGCTGCACATCCCTTACTCCCGCAGCAAAGTTCAGGGAGAACTCCTTATATTCTCCACAAGGTTCAAAACCAGTTACGGCAACCACACCCCTTTCTGCAGCTGCCTGTTGTGAACTCCCACTGGCAGCTGCCCTTTAATGCTCACTGGGAAGCAGCTAAAGGTTGTGAACTCCTATTGGCAAGGAACCTTTTAATGCTCACTGGGAAGCAGCTAAAGGTTTCTGATGAGCCAGTCATCCATGCTTCCCACACCGGTCCCTACAGGGCAGGTTAGTTTCATACACACATCCCTACAAGCAACCACCCAGACTGGAAATGCAGCTCCTAACTACCAGAGACCTTGGACACTCCTGAGATGATCAGTGTACTACGTTTCGTCGGTGTCTTCTTGGTGGTCCTGTTATTCGTCTCAGTTAGCTGCCTGATTGCCGTCTCAGCCACCGGATCCAAGCCATTGGGCAAATGGCTATCCCCTGAGCACAAGAAAAATACCAATGCTTGGAGCAGCAACCTTCAGCAGAGGCAAAAGGTCGCTTTCTGACTGCAATGCTTGCAATAGGCAACTTACATGCACACGAATGCATGTAAGTTCCCCCATCCAAAGTCTATTAGAGACTTGTCCAAATAAACAAAATGAAGGAAGCTCTGTAGAGGTAGCCCTTGGCTTTTTCAGGTACCTGAAAAGTTTCATTTCCCACCAGGCATATCATTAAAATACACCTCCCCTTCCCCGCACCACTCAACAAAGACTTCCAAAGACTCCCAATAGTTTGCTTTGGCAGCAACTGTCAAAAGAGCTGCAGTGCTCTGTTCTAGACACAATCAGAGCCCCAAGTGCAGGGTGACCAAAGTTGTTTGGCTCCGGATAGAATGGAAAGTTCTCGTCAAGCAAGGAAACACTCATAGTCCCTGACTGGATGGTTAAAGGGGAATGTCTTTTACCTGCCCACACACCACCACCACCAGCCTTCTGCCCCCACCTTCACTCAGGCACTTGGACATTCTCTGAAGCAGAAAATGCAAGCAAGTTCAGGGAACCGCACTCAGACTGCCACTTTCTAAAACAGGCTAAGGAACACAGTTATTTCAGTAAGAGCCTCAAATTTCCAAGCACTTACGGCTACTGCTGGGCAAGTGGCCATGAGGACGGCCAGTCTCCAAGAGCACTGTTGTCTTTTCAGTCACTTCCACTTTGGAAGGCGACCTCGATGGTGAATCTTCACAGCAAAAGAAACACCGAGATACCAGTAAATGGAGATGAAGCTTACACTACTACGTTATCATATTGTGCCCCCTACACAACCCCCAAAAGCCTCAAGCGAGCATTTGGAGAGCCTGCAAGGCAGCTCTGTAAGGCTTTGTGGCAGTAAGAAGCCCACTGGGAAAAAAATCAGCATCACTGAATGTTTTGGGTTGGAAGGGACCTGAAAACCACTTAGTTCCAATCAGACTGCCATTAGACCAGGTTGCTCCAAGCCCCATTCAGCCTGCTCTTGAACACTTCCAGAGACAGGGCAGCTACAGCTTTCCTGGGCAACCTGTGCCAGTAACTCAGCACCCTCAGAGGGAAAAATTTCTTCCTAATGGCTAATATAAATCTACCCTCCTTCAGCTTAAAGCCATTCCCCTTGCCTTATCACTGCATGCCCTTGTAAAAAAACCACTCTTCAGCCTTCCTACAAGCCCCCTTTTAGGTACTGGAAGGCTGCTTGCTGTAATGTTTCCCCAGAGCCTTCTCCTCTCTGGCCTAAACAGCTTCAAACTCTCTCAGCCTTTCTTCACAGGGAGGTGTTCCAGGTATGTGACCAACTTAGCGGTCCTCCTCTGGACTCACTCCAACAGGTCCATATCTTTCATGCGCTGAGGGGCCGCAAGGCTGGACACAGTACTCAAGGCAGAGTCTCACAAGAGCAGAGCAGAGGGGGAGAATCACCTCTCGGCCTGCTGGCCACACCTCCTTTGATGTAGCCCAGGATATGGTTGCCCTTCTGGGCTGCAAGTCCTGTGAAGCTGACGCGCAGCAATACTTCATTCATGTAATTTCCCAGCCCCGCCTCTTGGAATATCCAGCACCACATTCACCAGGATGCCAGACCACAAGCAGCAACAACCCCTAGGAAGCCAGATCAACATGCTTTTGGCTCCACAATCGGTATGTTCAGCCTAACTTTTTTAGCAGTGAAGAAACTAGAGAAAGCATGGCTAAACACTTAGCCTGACATCATGCACAGGTTATTTGGCAGCATATGCATTAGACATCCCACCACCAAAAGGGTGTGTGAAAGGCTCATCCCTCCCTCACCTCCTCCAGACACACAACTGCAATTCTCTACCCTAGGGCTACATAAGAGTTTCCAACGAAGGTTCTAGGGGAATAGCATGGATGCCCGTGTTCTGACCCACACACCAAAAGCAATACATCAAGCGTGAGCCTGCCATATCCAGGTGTGATGGCTAAACAGTTTTGCCACTGCCTTCATGAGCAGCCATGGGAATATTGCAGCTAAGTCTGTGCTGCCATAGGAGCCACCTGTACAATAAACCTGCTGCTGTGCAGCCTCACCCAGTTTGCAGTCTGCCTTGGGCCGGGACTGAATTGTGGTGACAGTAGTCACAATGGTGCCGTCAGGCATGATGGTCCGGTCCATCTCCACCTTCTTAGTGGGGGTGATGCTGGTTCTCAGAGATGTGGCATGTGGAGCATTCAGAGATGCAGGAGACTCCTGGAACAGCAGCTAAAAGCAGTAAAGCACTGATCAGAGAGGCACTCTTCTTCCCAGATGGAAAGGCAGGCATGTTTGGGCAACAAAAGCTGCAACTCTGGGTACCAAGGAGCCATTCCCAGTACAGTATAAGTTCAACAGCGAGAGGCTCAGGGACCAAGGGGCAGGTGACATCCACCCCTCCATGGCACAAGGGTCTGCTAGCCCTCTGTGCCGAGCTCAGGCCCAAACAGGCGTGTCTCCAGCTAGAGGCTCACATTATGAACTCTTCCAGAGCATGCATGTATGCACAGCTTGTGGGATCATGAGCTCACCTCCAATGTAATGGTAGCTTCAGCTGTCAGTGATTGTCCAGCTCCTGGGGCCAGTGAGCAGACCTGTCTCCCAGACGGCTGCTTGTCCAAAGAATCTATCAAAAGTGTGGCATATGCCAGCAGCACATCTGCAAGAAGGAAGAGCAAAAATAAAACACTTCACATGACCTCAGCACCTCAGGCATCTCCAAGGTAATCCCTGCTTTTGGGAAGCAGCACAATAGGTCAACACAGCACATTGCCACAACTCCATTAACTCCCAAGTTCGAGAGGAAGAAGGGGCAAGCAATGCTCCTCCGCTCCTCTTTAACAATTCAGGATTCAACTCCCTTAAAAGACGACCACTGTGTGGCCTCCATCAAAAATAGATGCTGTAGTAAGTCCCCAACTGAGTACAAAAGAACAGTTAAGAGCCTTATGCAAAGCTCTCCTAATACAAGAGGCAAAATCCTGCATGCCTCTGCCTGCTTCAGAATGCAGACAGGCAGGCCACAGGAACCTCCTGATTCAAGGTCAGACCCAGACCATTTTGGCAGAGGAACAAAATGAGTTGCTTCACACAGTCACAGAAGCTCACATAAAGCTAAATATGAAAAATCCTTTGCAGAACTCATCACACATACCAACAGAGAACTACCATGAGCTTAAAGCACAGGGAGTCCCTTAGGCATTTTTGCCTCCCAGTCTTAAAACCCATCTTAGGGTTGTTCGCACTCACTTCCCCCTCCATCGCTGCTCTTCAGCACCTGTAGTTTCAGTTCTTTGCTTCTAGGTCCCAACTCCCTGTTGAAACCGAAGAGGAGCTGGTGTTAGGCAATCTTTTTTTAAGTGGCCACGGAGCAAACAACCTCATTCTGTATCTTCCCTCCCTCAAATCTCACCCTTTCTAAAGTTTCAGTAGCATGCACTACTATGGAGGACATGACTAGAGTACCAAATGACAAAAAGGAGAATTCTGGTTTGTGTGCCCTGCAGAGCTGTGTAGGTTGACAGTGGAAGTTGAGAGGGCAGTGCCTCTGAAAGGCTGTTTATGCTACATCCTATTGCACCTGCTGCGCCTACATTTAGCACTTCTGCCCACCCAGGGAAGTGAGAAAGATGTATGCAAGCTGGGGCAAAATGCCCCAATCAGCACTCCGGCACAGGGGCAGCATAAACAGACATTGCCCTGTGGCACAGACTTCATCTCTGCACCGTGCACATCACTTGGTAATGGTAGCAGCATGGTAATGATACCCAGACATCATGCCGGTCTGCCTACACTGCTCCAGCCAGAAAGAGAACAAACACTTACAGAAAGAACTCGTCATTCCACTCCATCTCTCCGGCAGCACCGACACTGCCACCTATCACTGGCCTCGTCCACTTCTGCTGCGGGGGGCTGTCTAGCTCTGCCACACAGCATATCTCCCCAACTCCTGCAAGAGAGACAGAGGGCACATGTGCACTCATCAACAAGAGGCAGTGGTTCGTCACACACACACACCCCTCTTTTCCATTCAAACCCACCCAAAACATCCACTTGCTCCAATCTTGCCACCTGCACGCTTGCCCCCGTGGATCAGCAATGTTTTCATGCCTACCTCCCTTTCCCTGGCAGCCCAAGTTCAGCACTCGAAGATTCCGGAGCAACAGCTTAGAACCCAGAGGGGCTGCTGCTACTCTGGACGGGCACTCTCGAGTCAACTTATTGCTGGGTACCTGAGGAATGATGAGAGCGAGACCATTACCTTTATCATTCACTCACCAGGAGAAAGCATCAAGAGGCATCGTCCTTGTATCTATTAAGTAGCTCCTCACACCAACACAGGGGAATACCCGCAAGGCCATCAAGGGATGCTGCAGGTTTCCCAGGCCATTGACCTCCAGTGGGCCCTAATGTTATTTCAGATGGGAAGTTTAAGGCAGACAGAGAAGGCGACAGGCAAGAACAAGCTTGCTGGCTACTGGACAGTCAACTGATGATGACAAACCATGGGACATTCCATGTCTGCAAACGCTGCCTTAGAGAGAGCCCTTGTATTCAGAGCAAGACCAACCGCCAAAAAGAGATGTATCTCAGGCAGTCCAGCTCCACAAGGATGTGACCAACAATCAGCATTCAAGAAAAAAGGTGGAAGGAGTTGCCCTTGGGAGCAATTTCTAATTATCCCTAAGCACCACATTGCAGTCCCCAAATGCCTATGATAGTGCAGGCCGTCACCCAGAAGTGAAACTCAAGCCTTGGATCCTGCCTGAGCCTCAGCCCTCAGAGGTGTCTTGGGTTAGGGTTGTGCCTGTGTTTGGGGCACAAGAATGACACGAGAAGAGTGACTTACCGCACTGGCTCCAGCGGTACAGGCCAACAAATTCACCATCATGGCTGGCTTCGTGCTGACAATGGTATCCTCGACCAGATCCTTTATAGTGGACAAATCTGCTCTCCCTTCATCCTTCTCTCCGTAAATCAAGGGGAAATGCAGGAATGTCATTAAAAAATGGACACATTTACATCTCCACCTGCCTCTCATGCCTCTAATATGCTACACAGTCATTCTCCCAGTAATAACCTCCCAAACACTCTTCCCATATTCCATACTCGCTCTCCTCAGAGCTTAAAGCTTCTGTGTAGCAGCTGCAGGCAAATGCAAGCTTTCTAAATGAGACAAACTAAGTCTCTACTTCTGTAGTTTAGCTGGTGTAAATTTTTACAATACAGATTTTATAGTTTGTCACATGCTTACCACCTCAGGAGATGGTGCCACCACACTTTTGGGAAAACAGTCGAATTCCTAGAACTACTCAGTATAAAGTAACAAAGGTGTCAATAGAACAACAAATCAACCAACCTATCTGGATCACAGAAGTGCAAGCACACCCACATTCTGTTCATTAAACCTCTAACCCTGCGATTCCCCACATTAATCTCCTACTTTTAATTAATCCCTTCAAAAAAACCCAATCAAACTTAACCAACACAACAACAACAACAAACACCACCTCACACAAAGAAAGAGCGGCAACCCAGCTCGTTTTGCAGCTCTACATGTGACAACAGCAGGAGGAACCAACATAGACAGAAAGCCTTCAACAGATACTGGTGCCACTTCAGCCCTCTTGAGGATGCCGCTTTGACACAGTTGAGCTAGTACCGATTCCAGGATGAAAGGATGAAAGAATCCTCTCCACTGCCCTCACTGCCCAGTGAGCTGCCAACCCTTCTCCTCCACAGCAGCCCACCTTCTAGCTGTTTCTGCTCCTTCGTCCACTCACAGTCAGCCTCCCATTGTTAGCCACTCACCTCAGGAAGCCCAAGTCGTGGAAGAACAAAAAGGTCCAAGTCTGGTCTGTCTTTGAATGTCCATGACACCAGGAGACCCTCATTCTGTATCTCCTCCAAGTGGATCTCCACCTGGCCCAGAACAAATATCCATAGTTGAAAACAGTTTCTGCTTACATTAGGTGATTTTTGCCCCATTCCAAATTCAGCAATTGAAAGGCCCTCACACCAGTGCAACAGTAAAAAACAGAACATAGGAACGCAAGTGCTCCCAGGCCTACAGGATGAAGCAGCTGTAGAAGCTCCATGGCGAGATCTGGCTCCCACACTGCGACTGGATGCCCAGGCACCACCAGAGGGAAAAATGATCCATTTTTTCTTTTACTGAAGAAAAAGCCTGCAGAGTACCATCCACAAGTGCCCAACTGGGCACCAACACATAGGATATTTACTGAGTTACATCACTTAGGCATTGCCAAATGTAAACGCAACCATTTATAGGTTAGCAACACATCTCTACAAGATGATCCTGAGGTTGAAGACCCACCTGGGTCACCAACAGTCTGCAACAACAAACTAGAATATACACTATCCTGTAGTTTAGCTGAAGCTAAGAATTTGCACACCCATGTACCCATAAAAGCATTACTAATGTGACAGACAGAGGCAGAACCACACACGAATGGAACTGAACTGACCTGAGAGCTCTACTAAAAACTGGGTAATAGAATTCAGTACAGTTCTCAATTACCAGGTTGACATTTACTGACAACACAGAAGGTCATCAGACAAAAGCAACATATATGAGACACAGTGGCCACGTAAGTAATCAACAAGAGGTGTGCCAGAATGGACAGGGCACAGGGCACAATTGGGAACACAGTACTTGAAGTATTCCAAAAAACAGGTAGGCATGTGGTAATCTAACCTGCATTTCATAAAACAGCAGCAGCAGGACCTCAATTAGAATACTATATGCAACTCCTTTACATGAACAATCAACCCAAAACTTCACCAGGTGCAGACAAGGAGACCTAGAAAATGTCAATGAGTAGGGGAGCAATTGGATGAGATGTGAAAAAGGGGAGTTCTCAGAAATGAAAAGCAATTGCAGTTGCTGCCCATAACTAGACTGGCAGCAGGCACACTACATGCTAAAGAGAGAGAGGAGCTCTCTGGAGCTCTGGATTTCTGGAGATGACCACAGAACAGTGGTACAAAATCAAACTGGAATAACCTGATAAAAGTATGCTGAAAATTGTAATAAAGCTTCTGAGAGCAAAAAGGTTCAAGAACAAGCTTCAAACTGTCTGCAACAGCATGGGATTAGCTTCTGCTACCACTGAGTTACTTCTAATTTTGCCAGGTCTATCTTTTCTTTTTTTTTTTTGTGCACATATGAGCACACTACCTCCAAGCAAGATACCATCTCCAGCATCATGTCCTTCATCATGATGGAAAACCATATTCCAAAGAATCAAATCCAGCCAGAAAGTAACCATGGAGTTACCACCCATTGTGATTTCAGAGCTTCTTTGCTGGAATAAGCATCTCCGATATCCAACACACAGAAAAAGCTGCACTGTGCTCTTGTGAACGTAATGAGGGGAACTGACAAGCAAACTACTCCTCACCATAGATTTCTTTTTCTCACCCACTACCAGGACACCATACTTTTACATAGCCTTTCTCCTCCCATACCTTTCCCCTTCCACTATGCCACAAGGGGAATTGAATTCTCTGAACTTCTCACTTCTTAAATACCCACTTGAAAGCAGTATATAGAATGCAGCCATGTCTCAAAACTCTCTGAAATTTCTTACAGCTATATTTCATAGCCAAAATCTGCATATGAAGACTCAGAAAACAAGACTCGGCATGCAGATGGGGAATATTTGCTACCTCACCAAATGTTAGTGACAGCACACCGCTTCTCCCAGCCCAATGAGGCCTTCATTTGCACTTTGAATCAGGTCCTCCTTCCTCGCTCAGCATGGGACTAGATGGAGGAGGGAGGTCAATGTTTAACTTTTTGTAATCCTTACCTGAGCCTGCAGCACAGCCAAAGTGACATGATACGTGTCCACAGAAACAGCAACTGGGGACTGCTGAGTAACAGAGACAGGGAATTTCACAGCTTCAGCTGACAGATGGCACCACAGCACCTAAAAAGAAAAGGAAAAGATGAGTTTATATCCCGGCAAGAGGCTGCTGTGTTGTTCTCACCAAGTTCAAAGCTGCAAACCTGCAACTTCAGACCCTGTGCTGTGACAAGAGCACTTCTCTGCTCTTCATAGTAGAACCCTGATGTTTGGGTTCAGCCTTCACACATCCCGGCTCCACCAACATATCTTCTCTCACAGAGCTTACTTGTGCAAGCTCCAGAGCCTCCAAACAGGAGACAGGCCTCCAAATTCCTCAAAACAGACCTCACACAAAACTTCCCTGGTTCCACCATCTCCATCAGAAAGGCCTCAGCAGTGTCTGCAGAACACACCATCACACCAAACTGCACAGTTTAGAACAGCAAAGCCTTACCATGCTGTGGTCCGACTGTCCCTTGCATGTCACACAACTTATATTGGCAGCTTGTGGTAACTGAGGACCCTCTTCAAATGTGATCTGCACTGAACTCTGCAAAGAGAAAACTGTTAGTTCTCAGTAGTCAGAGCCAACCTGATAGTTCCAAAGAGGATGAATGATGTGGGGTCCCAGAGACACTCCAGCCAGCATCCAGAACTATCGCACACTATAATTTTACCCACCTCGACTTGTCTATACAGAGAAAGGAAACAAGGTGTCCAGTTGAAGCTTGAATTCACAGATACGAAGCACCTCCAGGAAAGTCCAAATCTCATCCAGAATCTCACACAAGCAAAGTCCTCCAGGATAACTCCCAGACCCCGCTTCAGAAAACCGCTTTTAGACCCAGCAACTCACTGAGGCAATGCTACTCCACACAAGGAGCAGCTGCAGCAGGAACTGAAGTGGGGCCTTCTGGGGCCTCCATGCCAATTCAGCCACCAGCTAATCTTCCCTTTACAGGAGTCCTAAATTCTAGAACTTATACATTCAGGTCATTTTGTGATAATGTGAGTAATTCAACACATGACAGAAAAGTACAGCATGTCAGATATGGGAAACTGGTGACACTCTGACTAATGCATTTTGATAAGAGGAGCATGGAAGCAAAGGGTGAGTTTCTACAGAAGCAGCACTATGCCCAGTGGGGGAAGGCACTTCACGTTGAATCCAGCCTAGAATTTGTCACTCCTTCAAAAAGGGAGATACTTTTCCTATCTTGCTGGAAAACTCAAAAACAAGTTTGCATTATGTTTCTCAGGACTTTAACTGCCTACACAACTTAACAGAAAGGAAACCCTTTCTCACTTATACGATTAAAAAAAAAAAAAAGGGGATATTGCAATAGACTTTGGACTGCTTTGGACCACAGTTTCTGTAGGTATTAAGTCCCTGCCTTGCAGGCAACACAAGCTATAATGGAATTATTTCCATATGGAATCATCAAGGCGTACTCTCCTTCATGAACTTCAAAACTGCAGATAATACAATGGCAATACCGGGAGAATAAAGAAAACAAATACCAGAAAATTTCGAAGAGATTGCTGCGGAAAATCAGAGTGACTACAGTATTGCCCCAACCCGCGTTAAACGATGCGTGGTAACGCGCTCCGCCCTTTCCGTGCTCGCACTGCTCCCACGCAGGCCGAACTAAGCCGTCCGCAAGGTGCCTACCGGCTCCTCCGGCCGGAGCGCCGTGAGGGCAACGGCTGTCCCGGCACCCGTGAACAAAGAGCAGGCGGGTCGGCCCGCCTCACCTCGCTGCCGCTCCCCGCGCTCCCCGGCTCGTGCCCTGCCGTACCCCGTGCCGGCGCGCCTGGCTGTTGAGAGCTCGCACCCAAGCTCGCTGCCACTGCTCCCGTAGGGACCTCAGGGCGAGAAGGGCCGCGAGCAGCGCCCGGGCCCCGGCCTCCTCCCCCGCCGCTCCGCGACGCCGTAGTGCTCGCAGGGCCGTGGACCGCCAGTACTGGAGCAGCCAGGCCGCCACGGTGAGCAGCGAGGCGGCGAAGAGCAGCACTAGCGCGGCCCAGCCCAGGTCTGGCCCCATGGCACAGAGCGCGGGGCTCACGGCAGCGCGGCGGGCATGGCGGGCGGGCCGCGGTGTTGCCCCGCTCGCGGCACCGGGTGCACGTGGCCCCGCCGCAGCCCCGCGGCACCGCACGCGCACCCGCCGCCGCCTCTTTCCTTCCGGCGCGGCGGAGCGCGCGCGCCCCCCGCGGCCCGGCGGCGCCGCCCGAGCCGCGGCGCACACCCCGCCCGCTGCTCCGCCCCGGGCCTGCGTGCAGGCCGTGGTACCCGGTCTGAACGGCCCGGAAACCTCACGGCTGCTGCCGCTGGTCTTCTCTTCTGGGGGAATGAAATAGGAGCACAGCCGCAATCTGAAAGCCCAAGTCCCCACCGGCTTTCCGAGCTTCGATTAACGACGCTTTTCTCCTTCACGTCACGCTTTTTTCTGATGGGAGTCACTGCCCCGTTCCCACCAGGCACGCAGGACACAGCAGCAACGCAGATCCTTTCCGTTCGTCTGCTCGCGATTGTGCCACTCTCGCCGTGGTGGGCAAGTAACACGAGTTTTAATCACCTCCCGACAGCCTAACCCAAAGTAGCAGCGGCCTCTGGCCAGACATGCTCCCCTGCACCTCTGTGCTGTGCTTTCGTCCCCGGCGGTACCGTGTGCCCGCCTCAAAGTTGTTATAAAGTTTACAAAATCACTTTTGTACATGTGCAACAGACAGCAGAGCAGACGTGGCCTCTCAACACAGCAGCAGCTCCTTAGGTGGCCATAAAGCCATCAGAAAAATCAGATAAAGCCATCAGAAACCATTTCAGGTTGCCATGCAGCTGCAGGGCATGTAAAAGTTCTTCTTACTGCTACCGGACTTTCTGCTGCGTCTCCCCCTCCGCTCATCGACTGACACCTGAACGAACAGAACAGTGAATGGACACTGAGCCTATCCTGCCTTCCCCTCCCCACCCCCCAAAAATGCCCCGAGGGCCCATCAGCAGTTGCAGATTTCCTGACAATCAAAAATGTCCAGTAAGGTATTTTACTGAATTTTCCCGACATCTGAGGAAACACGTGGGGAAACGAACCCAACGGCCGCTCACTTTTCCGATCTCGCGCATTCGGCACCCGGGTAACACGCCTCGCCACCCCGCCTGCCGGCGGTGACTGCGCTGGCCGGGACTCGCCCGCAAGCGCGGAGCCCCAGACCTGGGCAAAAGGCGGTTCCGGTTGGGAGGCGGCGAAGCCGTCGCTCATTCAGCGCGGGCGCGGTCCCGGCCGCCCGCCCTCCACTGGGACTCACTCGCATCCCGCATGGGAGGAAGTGACGTACCAATAAAGAGCGGGGGGGGAGGGGGGAAGGGTGGCCATGGCGGTTGTGGGCATTGCGGGGCGGAGTCCGTGGGCCGTCCCCGGGCGAGTGCTGCTCCCGGCGCAGAGTTTCGGAGGAACCTCGCGGAGGAGGAGAAGCACCGCGAACCTTAGCACCGGGGACAAACACCTCCATACACCCTCAGCGCGGCGGAAACCGCTACCGATCCCGGCCGTCCTGCGAGCAGAGCTCCGTGCCGGCAGGAGGCTCATGCCAGGGCCAAAGATGGCGCCCCCACCCCCGATAGGCCGCGAGGGCCCCGCGCATCCGGCGCCGCCCGCGTAACGCCCGGCCGGGAAGGCGGTGGGCAGCGCCCCCGCCCGGCCTCGCTCCGCGCCCTTGGCAGGGGCAGCCCCCGCCGCGGCCATGGCGGCCTGGCCCACTGTGCCCCTCCTCATCAACCTCGGCGGGTCGCTGCTGGGCTTCGTGGCCACGCTCACGCTGATTCCGGCCTTCACGGACCACTTCCTCGCCGCGCGGCTCTTTGGGGAGGACCTCAACAAGACCTCAAGGCGGCCCGTGTGAGTAGCGCTGCCCCAGGGAGCTGCCCCGCGGGGCCGGCCCAGGCACGGCTGACTCCCTCCGCTCTACCTTCCAGCCCCGAAGCACAGGGCGTGATCAGCGGTGCCGTGTTCCTGATCATCCTCTTCTGCTTCATCCCCGTGCCCTTCCTGAGATGTTTTGTGGAGGAGCAGTGCGCGGCCTTTCCTCACGACGAGGTGAGGTTCGTCTAGTGCTGCAAGCGTGGCAGGCAGGGGCAGGGAGTGGCCACCGGTGACCGGGGTCCTGTTCTCTGTCCTGCAGTTCGTGGAGCTCATCGGTTCGCTCCTTGCCATCTGCTGCATGATTTTCCTGGGCTTTGCAGATGATGTTCTGAACCTGCGCTGGCGCCACAAGTTGCTTCTTCCTACCATGGCTTCCCTCCCACTGCTCATGGTTTACTTCACTAACTTTGGGAACACGACCATTGTGGTGCCTAAGCCCTTCCGGGTGCTGCTGGGCATGCACTTGGACCTGGGTAAGTTTATGAATCACCAGAAGCTGTCATCCATGTGGCAAGGGATCACATGGAGCACTTCTTACTGCAGAGGGAGCAGACTAAGGATTTGCTTAAGTAATCAGTAAGAGAGTGGCAGTCCACCCACTAAACATTAGGCTGGAAAGAACATCCAGAAACCCAGTGCACATTCAGGTGTGCATAGACAGACACCAGTCATTTTCCCATGATCCTGGCAATAGAGCTGAGTAGTGGGGCACACAGCACATGGCTGATAACATCAGGATGTTAGAAAGACAGAAACAGCACTACAGCTGGCCACCATGTCACGGCAGTTTGTCACAGTACATGTAGACATGACAGCCAGCTTGTAAGAGAGGAAGCAATCTTATTTGTAAGCTACCACTATCAAAACTCACTGAGATTGTTAGGTAATAGGTTGTTGTATAAAGCAAGAAGTGAGAGCTTCAGTGAATTGGTCTAGGGCCTGCTTTGCCTCCAAATACTGATGCATTTGGCTTGCTCTGCAGGTATCCTCTACTACGTGTACATGGGTATGCTAGCAGTGTTCTGCACTAATGCCATCAACATTCTTGCTGGAATTAATGGAATTGAAGCAGGACAGTCGCTGGTGATAGCTGCTTCCATTATCATATTCAATATTGTAGAGCTAAACGGTAAGGAAAATAACAAACTTTTGTGGGCACAAAAAGCAAAGGGTGATTGAATTCTAGATTTCAGTAGCTGGTATTACTAAAAATGAACCAGTCTTGTCTTATCACAAACACATGTTTTTCTTTTTTCTATAGGGGATTATCAAGATGATCACATTTTTTCTCTCTACTTCATGATTCCCTTTTTTTTTACCACACTGGGCCTATTTTACTACAACTGGTAAGAGGACAGACATTCAGAATTTGTTTGGAAGCATCCTTTCCCTCTAGTTTCTCCCTTTTTGAATGAACAAAACCACTTAACCACCTCCAGGTGTGGAACGCTGGAGTGTAGAGAGGTTTCTTGCCAGATCCAAGAACACAAAGCATGGAGTGTTTTGTATTAAAACAACTGTGGTCACACCAGCTCACCCAGACATGCAGAATACACTGTCTCCTGTGCCTCACTGGCTGGCTTTTCATACGATATTCTCCGCAAGTCAGGTGGTGGGTCCCAGTCCTGCAATTCTTAGAATAAATACCTACAATTGTTTTTACTGCGTAGATCTGCTACAGATCTCCATTGGCCCCTGACCTGCAATGTGGGCACACATTCAGTGGTTATAAATAGTCATTTTTGAGGCAATAGCAGTCATGTCAGACCTTTGCTTTTCTGCTCCATGGATTACAGGTACCCATCTCGAGTGTTTGTTGGGGATACCTTCTGCTACTTTGCTGGCATGACCTTTGCTGTGGTGGGGATCTTGGGACACTTCAGCAAAACAATGCTGCTTTTTTTCATCCCACAAGTACTCAACTTCCTCTATTCATTGCCTCAACTCTTCCACGTCATTCCTTGTCCCCGTCACCGGCTACCGAGGTAATGTACCAAGTGACCTATAGTGGTACTACAGGTTGTGTCTTTTACCTCCAACACCAGCTGAGAAAGGTGGTGGAAGGTGCTCTTTTTAAAAGCCATCAAAGTATGCTTTCTCTTTAAAAGACAGCAGCTCACTCTGCTAGCTACAGTCAGATCATACAGTAGAGGTTTCTCAAAGAAGTGCACTTCTCTGACCAGCCCACCCCTCAGATACAGAATGATTTTTAACAAGGTTAGAACATGATGATTCCAACCTACAAGATTGAGAAAAATTGACACAGGCTGCTTTTAATACTGTGGTAGTGGGATCTGCTAAGATTTCATAGTAGCAAGCATTCTATAGCACTATGCCACATCAGCAGTTCTCTCTGCAGATGTTAGATTCTTCTGTTTTATTCTTTAAACTACACAGCATATATTGGGGGTGCAATGGGAAGGAGTCTTCTCTGCCCCACTTGAGGGGCTAGATACTAGCGGCTGGTTTTAAGTGTATCAGGTAATTCCTGTTTCTTCCACCACTGGATTTCTTTCTCAGCTGTGGATCGAAGTCTGCTTACAAAGTGATCTATCTCCTTGTTGCATCTGGACTAAATTTTAACTGTTTCTTTTAGGCTTAATCCTAGTACAGGCAAGTTGGAGATGAGCTACTCCAAATTCAAAACTAAGAGCCTCTCTGCCCTGGGAACAAGCATTCTGAAGGTAATTTGTGGAAAACATTCAAAATTCAGGTGCATTTTGAGGCAGTCATCAAGTGAAAGAGAAACAGGGTGGGAGAAAATGCAGAACTTCAGGGTTCAATAGTTACTGAAGAAAGTCTGTTACCATCCCTCCCAGTCACTTGATTGTGTTAAAAATCAGTCTTTCAGAATAACCACACATAGAAGTACCCCAGGACCATCATAAGTCTGTCCTGTCTTTTCAGTAAGACCACAACCAGGATTTCAGGGCTGGTGCAGCAAAAGGGGTCTTGAGCAAGATTAGCCAGTGAACACCAAACATACCTGGTGAAATAGTGTCCAATATTTCTTTCCTCAGGTAGTCAAGATCTTGCACGTAGTAGATGTGAGGAGTGGAACAGATGAAGATGGCGAATACACTGAATGCAGTAATATGACACTTATTAATTTTGTCATAAAACTGATGGGACCCACCCACGAGCGAAATC